TTACCCGTGTCTTACCCCTGATACAATTAAATAAACAGAACAGTATCCACAGTAAATTATTGAAATAAATACAAATACTGTTCCATTCATTTAAGTTAATGCCTAATTTGATTTACAAAACCCTTTTAAATTACATATAGTTAAACTGAATATTTAAATGTTATAACTAATTTTAATAATGTATTCTCAGAAAATTAATGTTTTTTTTTTTATATATATCTCAATTTTAGCCAATTTTTTTGTCAAGATTAAGTTTTAAAAAAAATTTCTCTTTCCATCAAAAAATATCCACTTGGTAAACACATCCTAATAAAACTTAAAAAGGACTAATTCATTTTATGTAATTTCACTATTTAAAAAAATAATTTTTTTTCTACTCTTAACTTATCATAATTTTGGAAAAGAATTATTTTTAGTTAGTTAGGGCCTTTTAATTGCAACAATACATATTTTAACATTTTTGCCTGTGTATTTTCTTGATCGTTTTTAGATTTTATATCGCATTCATATCCACCATAATTAAAGCATCAACATTTTTTTAATAATGTATTTTGTTGTTGCTAATATATTAAATTCTAACTTTCACTACATTGAAGTCATATATGTATACCATAAAAATAAAAATTTGAATACAATGTACAATTCAATATATTTCTGAATGCTTCATTGAAAAGCATACAATTTTTTGTTTGACTGTTCAGCTATACAATATATAATAATAAAATAGATATTATACTTGACAAATATAATATTTACTTGATTACCTAAATGCAAATGTATCTGATTTTTTGTGGTTGAAATTCAGATGTAATTTAATCATCAAAAACTATTCAAATTTGATTATTTAAAGAAGAATCCAGTTTGTAACAAGAATAGGTTGATTGCTGAATTAGACTTTTTACCACAATTTCAAGTTTGAAAGTCATCAGTATGTTGTGAAGTAGTCCTGATCTAGTATCATCCAGTTGTAGTTTTAAGTGATGTATAATAACTGATAAAGGGTTTTAAGAGAATAATAAATTATTCATATGACAAAAAGAAAACCAAATTTTAAATAAAAATCTATGTATAATAGAAAGGAATCAAGAACGTTTAAAACTTCCAAAGAAACAGACATAGATCTACGATAATTTAGATAAAAAACAACTACCACCACATAAAATATAAAAACAAAAATATAACCACACAAAATTTAAATATTTACATGATAAATGAAAAGAAAGCCTTACAAGAAAAGTTGATAACTTACTCCTATAAAGTCCTTTTAAAATAAATTTGATATAAAAAGTTTACACAAACATCTGTTTGCTGATCACATTTAAATAATCCTCTCTAAGAGAAAGAAAGGGTAGGATAGCTAGAGAAAAGGGATTATCAATTTTCACCTTCCACAGATGAATTAGTATTTGTAGTAAAAGAGTACAATGAAGTGCTCCACATTAAGAGTCCGATAGGATCATAATTATTATTTCTGGAAAATATTACAGTATAATACTTCAGTGAATATTTTATTAGAGTTCCAGTGAATTCGAGGTGGACCTCCAGATTTTAGGATATAATAAAAATCTCATGAATATTAGAACTGGGTGTTTTTAGATTTGTATGATTATTTTATAGAGGAGTTTTTGAACCTTTTTCAGTTATATTCAAGTTAAGATATTTTAAATTTCAAGGTCCCTTCGCAAGCAGGGACCTTATGCAGCCACTTAATCTGCCTCAGATATTTTATCTTTTTCTTACTCCTAAGATTTGACTTTTGTAGAATTAAATTAATTAATTAATTAATCATAAACTGCACTGAGCCAATATATGCCAGGGTCTACTATGTTAAAGAGCTACATGAAATTTTAGTCAAACAGATGGTAATGATTGTCAGTTATTTTTTATATCTAATTGTTTGTTCCATTAGTTTTTGTAATTTGTTTCTCTTTTTTTTTTTGCTCCATCTAAGAAATCATTTATTTGCTCCAAGAACAAAATTTAAATGTGTTCAAAATTGACCCTTAAAATGATTAGTAGAATGCTTCAGATGTCTGGTAATGTCCCTATAAATCCATTATCAGTACTTATATTTCTTCTGTTCATTTTTCCTAATTTTGGTGTCTTGAAGTTTTTTTATTTGTTTCAATAAATTATGAATGAGTCAGTCCCTCCAGAAATGACGTGGGCGAAGCCCCTATAAAAATTGACAAGTTAATGTTCACTGAACTTATTAATTAGAACATTAAGGATGAACATATTAGGAGGACTCATCAAGTTTTGAAAATGACCCTTAGTATGGTCGAAACGTTAAATTGATGCGTAATAATAAAATGTTGGTGAAAAATGGCCTAATTTATTGAAACAAATAAAAAAAAAAAAGTACTTATATTACTTAAGAAGATTAATTGTTTTTTTTTGTCAATGATAATACAGAATATAATACATTCATAAGGGGTTTAGAACATTAAACTTCAAGACTAAGGTATTTTTCCCTGAGTAATAATTAATATGCCAAATAATACCAACTGAGAAAAATGTTTTTTCTTAATAAAATAAACATTCCTGAAAAATGGAAATGTTATACTGGTAAGAATATATTAAATAATATAAACATACTACAACCAATCCTTCTAATTACTAAATACAAGAATGTGCAAACTTAAAAACTACTGAGAAAATATATACATATATATAAATAAATAGAGAAGAAAGAAGAAACTGACCTGGGACATGCCTTGGAAAGTAGCAGTATGGGTAGTAATGGTGACCATAGCTTGGAGGTGGGGCTACAAGAGCTACTCTATCTACAATTCACATCAGCTCATTAGTCATTAGTTACCATTTCTATTACATAATTATAAACTGTTAATAGAACGAAAATGGCATAACAAATCATGCAATCTGTACATTTTTAAATATTATAGTTCTTACTTCTAGGAAGGGAGAGTCAGAAAATGTATAATACAAAATATGAAAAAGATGGTTTCTTTGTTATAATTCATCGAAGTCAATTCAAATAATAGTCATTTGAAATAGAATATGAATATTCAGCATTCATAAATTATAAACTAAAATAACATATTATACTTTCTAATTCATTGTAATATCAATCAGAGACGGTCATTTATTACAACTGAAGTTCGCAAGTTCGATTAATTTCTTATAATTCATTTTTGATGGTATACACGGCAATTAAAAAAAAAATTAATAAATAATATATATAAATGAGGAAGTATGGAATACTTTGCTAAAATACAATGCAATTTGCTAAAAATAATGGTGGAACTATATTTACTTATTAAAGCCTAAACCAATCCAAATTTATACCATTAGATGGTACTAAACCATTAATAACCAGCTAGATAGGTTCTATGTAACTGGGTAAGTTTGAAATGAAAACAGTCTTAAATAAAATACACCACAGTCGTAAATCTAAATTTATGGTGATTTGAAATCCAAACCCTTTAAAGTTAATATCTAGCGGCTACTATTTTTTATCTTAAAAATCTGGTATAGTCACTCAGTTACCGATTTAAGACAAATTTATGAAACTTTAAATATATCCATTAAAAAAAAGAAAAATGAAATTAGATTAATTTTTCAGGGAACCAATCAGAGAAATGATTAGAATAAAACTTATTTTATGAACTAAAGCACTGAAAATGGGCAAGTGAACCATCATTAAAACCAGTGTATAAAATTCAACATACTGCAAATTTGCTAAAACTGATCTGATTTAGGCGATTTTTTTTATTAGTTTTGTAGGGAAATTGAATAAGTTTTTTTTTTAAAAAGAGCTTAAAATATGATTTTTGGACTCAGGAGGACTCTGAAACATAAAGCCCAGGGTTCATGACAACTAAAATCCAGCACCCACCTTTAAGACTATCTCATTTTTCAATTTAAGTTAGGTCTACAACAATTAAAATCCTATATATTAGAAACATATCTGACCTCATTCTGTATTAGTACATTATTTCAGTAATTATATAATACAAAAATATACAAAGAACTTTATACATTATGATACACTATGCAACTTATCAAAGAACTTCTAAAAGAGAAGATAGAAGAATAGTATATTAAAAAGGAGAAAGAGAAAACATAAGGTTTTTGTTAAGTGATAATAACATAATTGTCTCATGAGATTTTTCATCAATTAATAATTAATAAGTAAAATAATACAATCAGGTGATCCCAAAAATAATGTAGGTTTTTAATGATATGGTTACTTTCCTGTCAGTTAAAATCAAATAAAAAATCGAGGACATACCAAATGTATTAAGAGGATGATGCGGTTTGAAGTGGAAGAAGGACGGTGACGCAGGTCTCGAAAGTGAGCTGAGTTTGTCTTCTCTATCACCGAGGTACATTCCCTCCTTTCCCATCGCAGCCAACTGCCTACCTTTTGGCATAAACATTACCAAGAACACAACAAGTGCGGAGGCAGAAAGTCCAAAGGCTAGGCAAGCATCACGATTACGGTCAAGTACCACCTAAAATATAAATATATAAAATAGTAGATTATTCTTTGGAAAAAATCCAAAATCAAACAGCCTTTTTTGCAAATTATAACCTAACATTTATGTTATGTCTCTTATATACTTCTGGAAGATTAAAAAAAATATTGAATTTTTAAAATTATTGGATTAAAAAAAAATTAATGTATATATAGCTGTACTCATAAGTTACTATCAAATTAATTTAGATTTAAGTTGTCACAATAAACATATCCTTAACATGCTTACATCTTTAGGCATGAAGATCTTCCATTTCACATTATTTATAACCCATTCCAGAGAACATAATGTATTGAATCAGCAAACTGAGGGTTTCATTGTGCAAGAAAGTAGTCTATCAACTGGTAGAAAATCATAAGTGGCCTTTGACCAACAGGAAAACCATACGCTCATTAACATTTGATCTATTAATTTGCTAACGTAAATTAAATTTCTGCTTTATACCACAGATTTGACTAAAATTAGAACTACAAGGATGGATAAAAAAAAAGTTCATAACTATGCCTGAGAATCAATAGCTTTTTTCTTTTGATAATGATCAATAACAATATTGACTGATGCTTCGCGGTTCTCAACAAATGAATAGCTGTAATCCAGAATATCACGACCTTTTAGGAATGAAGATACTTTCTTTTGGGCAAGAGCAACATTCAAAGCATCCTTCTCAGTATATTTGTATAACTTATGCACAGGCACTTTAATAGTTCCTTTGACAGCATTATTGATCTTGCAATGAAATTCTAATGGGTAGTCATCATCCAATTGTGGCCATTTTTGTTTATAGACAGGCAGTTCCCAATTCACATAACTTCCAACATCTATTCTGTTGGCTGCTGACTGGATTCCTTCCCATAACTGGCAGGAAAAATGAGGAGCAAGTGGATACAACATAATGATCAACGAAGCCAAGCACAATTCGAATTGAGGACTATTAGCCATAACAGTTTTTTTACACTTTTTTAATGAATTAGTGAGTCCTTGAAGTTTAGATATAGCAACATTAAATTGATGGGCTTCTTCAAAATTGAATGAAGTTCCTTTTATATAAAAATTTCGTGCGTCCCAAAGATCATTTTCTTGTTTTGAATCGTAATCCCCAAATTCATTTTCTCTAGCATCAAGGAAATCGGCCAGTAATGACCATATCCTTTGCTGCCAATTGAGCACACCAGCAAAACTTGATGGATCCCACTGCCTAGGAGATGTTGGTGCAGCCTGAGATAGAACAAGTAATCTCGTAGTATCAACTCCATACTCCTTTATTACACTTTCTGGTTCAATACCATTAAATTTTGATTTTGACATTTTTTCCCAAACTTCGTTTACTTCTAAACCAGACGACTTTTCAACTATACCATTGTCACATTTTTCCACTTCTTCTTCCCTTAAACATTTTCCAGAATCTTTCAAATAATACGTTTTACCCAGAATCATACCCTGAACTAAAAGTCGATGAAATGGCTCTGGTTCTTTCAGTAAGTTAATAGAATGTAAAAAGTAACTCATAAAACGAGAATAGTATAAGTGAAGGACAGCATGTTCTTTCCCACCAATATAAATGTTAACAGGCATAAGTTCATTAGCTTTAGGTACAGAAAATGGTTTCGATTGATTGGAAGGGTCGGTGTATCTAAGAAAATACCAAGATGAATCCACAAATGTATCCATTGTATCAGTTTCAAAATCAGCTGGATTTTTACATTTGTGGCAAGTAGTTTTTGGTGATCTCGATACCAAAATAGGCAGATCTTCTTCTCTGGCTGGTAAACTGCCACATTCCTTGCAATGAATAATAGGTATGGGTGTTCCCCAACGTCTTTGACGAGAAATTAACCAATCACGTAGTTTGGAACTCACAAAATAACCTCCCCTTTCCGCATCAATGGCTAGACGACATATTTGAAGTCGTTTTTCAAAGTCTTCACAAAATTCTTCATCAGTAATATTTATGTTATATTTCAAAGCAAATGATTTATCTGATTCAGACAAAGATGGAATCCCTAATTTAAGATCACACCCTTCATCATATTCCAATTCATCCGAAATAAATACAGGAAGTTTTTTATTGTTGAAAGGATTCATGGCTTCATAATTCAATTTACCAGTGCAATTGTTTTTTAATGCAAAAATACTAGACGTTGATGCTGCAATAAACTTGGCTTTTGATATGTGTTCAGGATACCGCAACCATAAAGTGAGCGTTTCACATTTTTGGTTTTCTTTAAAAAGATCAAAATCAATGTTTGCTCCATTACATTCTCCAATCCAATGTTTCTGAAGATCAATAATATCCTTCCAATCTCGTAATTCAGGATTATTTAAACCATCTTTAAGAGCTGAAGCAAAACGAGTTGTACGCAAAAACCATTGTTTCATAATTTTTTTTTCTACCACAGCACCAGACCTCCAAGACTTGCCAAAAGAATCAATTTGTTCCTCCGCTAATACTGTTTTATCAACAGGGTCCCAATTAACTACAGACTCTTTTCTATACACTAAACCTGCTTTTTGTAGCAACAAAAATAAATACTGAGTGAACTTGTAGTAATTTTCTGAGCACGTAACAACTTCTCTATCCCAATCAAAGGTGAATCCAAGTTGTTTAAGCTGCGTTTTCATGGTTGAAATATTGCTATAAGTCCATTCACTTGGATCAAGTTTATTGATGATTGCAGCATTTTCAGCTGGAAGTCCAAAAGCATCAAAACCTATTGGATGAAGAACATTTTTACCTTTCATTCTATAATATCTGGCCAAAACATCACTAATTGTGTAGACTCGAACATGGCCCATATGCAAATTACCAGAAGGATAAGGAAACATGGATAAAATATAAAACTTATTTCCTTCATTTTCTTTGAACTGAGTATCAGAAGATTTACTGCACCACTTAGCTTCAATCTTAAGTTTTGTAGATAAATTGCATTGATCACTAAAGCTTATTTCTGAAAGTGACCTCGAAACCTGAAAGAAACATTTACCCAAGTCTTTAATTTTTATATTAATTGAAAACATCTTCAAAGAACAAAACTTAATCAAACAACAACGATGAATAACACCATAGCACTGATTGCCGAGCACGGCACACACTGAGTATAACAATGCTGCAACCTTCATGTTATGGCCTTGAATCGATTCACGCGCGAGCTATCGATATAACAAAAAGTCCAGAGCCATTATGAAAGGTGTTGGATATCTAGTTCAACTATATATTTATGTATATATTTCAGAGTTTGTCTAATGCATCGAATATAGAATTTTAGAATTATCAGAAATATCTTTTCAATTGCTTACACTAAAACAAAAAGTAATTAGTCAAAAAATGAAGCTAATAAAATGATTTAAAGATTTAGATTTTGAAAATTAAATGGATGCCTTAAAAAAATTTAATGAAAAATGCAGTACTAGAGTTCTGACTGTTTAAATTTAAGTTCATCCATTCGTAGTATAAAGCATCATAATTGACAATTTATGAAATAATAGAAAAGGAAGATGAGAAATACTGACAAAAATACAGTTTTTGAAAATAAAAATAATAACATATTAAATTGAAAAAGAAAAGTACCCTTAGAAAAAGTAGTTGGGAGAGACCACCCCTTCCGGTATTCTCTGCTCTCTTTCATATTATTTGTAAACATTCTAATCATTATTTAACTTATAAAATAGTGTCTTAAATAAGTAGTTATAATTCAATGTATAATAGATTGAAAGATGTATTTCAACACCTTCATTGTTCTCACAAAGGTTCACCTTCATAACAGTTCTTTCGTTATTCACCTTTATTCTCTGACATTTCAGGTTAAATAAATTCTCATTTTTGAGAATTTGAATAAATAAAAAAGACTTGCTTCTCATTCTTAATGAAATAACTTAATTTTTTCACTAATCCCTTCTAATCACTTTTAAAAATATTGTTGTCTCAATTTGGTGATTGCGTAATAGATTATTTCTGTCATATATAATTTTCGTAACAAACCTTTTGATTTTTCATAATTTCTAGTCATCAATATATTTATTTTAATTCTTCTTATATTTATTCAATAGAAAATTTAATTGGAAAAATATATATAAAGGTCTATTAAAACTAAAAAGCAACAACACTATATCAGTACAAAAAATATTAGGATAAATGCACCAGTAGCTGACATGCTAAAGGAAATTTCTTTGAACTTTTACGTGTAAAAACTAAAATATTGATATTATTATGTTTTTCATGGATTCATCTTATAGAACTACAGTGGGCAAAAAAAGTATTTGTACACCATATGTTTCAACAAAAAATCTTTTTATTTATGTTCTCAACATAAAGTAACCATAGATATCAATTAGAAACTCTATTTTGCATTAATTGTACAAAAAAGTAAAATTTTATAGCTCGTATTGTTTGAAAAATATCAAAATTTTCAAATATGAAGCGCAAAAAAAAAATCATACATTTAACTAACCCAAAGAAAATATAATAAATATCAACCTCAATTAATTTTAATATTTTGTAGGGCACCCTTTCGCATTTATCACAGCATTGAGTCCCATAAGCATCGGTTCGACGAGCCTCTTGATCTCTGGTCCAATTTCTTCCCAAGATTTTTTAAGATCGTTCATTAAGTCATTCGGAGTGGAACTACGATATTTTAGGATTTGTAATTCCAGTAGCGCCCATAAATTGGATTAAGATCCTGTGGTGATTGGGGGGCGTTTTGAGAATTTTTCGAACATTATGCAGCAACCATTGTTTGGTTTTATGTCCATGTGCTTGGGTTCGTTGTCCTAGTGAAACATATATATATATATATTCTCTGCTCCTAACTTTTACACATTTTTATTTAAATTGTATTGCAAAACATTCACATGTTTGTCAGCATTCATAATCCCGTCAATAAAGGCTAGTTCACCAACTCCTTCCAAACCATGACACTGTCCCTTCCGTACTTTGGGTTGTTGATTTTGGGGTTTGAATTCTTTTCCTTTTTTCTCTGAACTTATTTTTTTTTCCGTCAGATACTAAGATATTATACTTGCTTTCATCCGAAAACAACACATTTTTCCAAAACGTATTGGGTTTATTTACATGTTTTCGATCTTTTTTTTTTTTTTCTGTTTATTTCGTTTCTACCTCTATAATAAGCTTCATGTAGCCGATTCGTTGTGGTTTGGGGTATTACAGATTTCCCATAATCTGACGCGATGAGAGCGAAAACCTCTCGAGCACTTAATTTGGGATTTTTTTTTGCCACTTTAAGCACAATTTCACGAGATTTTCGCAGTTTCAACAAGAGTTTTCTCCTTGGACGGAATTTATTGTTCATTGATTCGAATTTAAATTTTTTTATAAAGTATTTCACTGTCGAATGAGATAGTCTAAACTTTTTTCCAATATACCGCAAACTTAAACCCTGTTGAAAATGTTTTACGTCATCTTTAAGATGAGAATTCAATTATTTGGACCCATGACCCATTGCCGAAGAAATATACTTTAGTATTGAACTAACAAGCAATTTCTCGTGCAGTTTTATCCTTTAATCTTCTGGAGTAACGGATTATAAATAGAACGTTAAAACACTGCTTTAGTAACATAAATTATCTTACCAATAATATTTGCTCTAGTGTACAAATACTTTTTTTGTTTAAATATAATTGAAATATTATATTTATATATATTTTATAAAAGTTGTATGAAATTTTAAATTTTGTATTGAGTATATCTCTTATTAGTATATGTACAAAAAATATAAAATAAATAGAAGCAAAATAACAATAAATAATAATCAAAAAGTATAAACAATAAATAAAATAAAATAACCTAAAAATAAGAAAATTAAAACTAAGCAAAAAGCACATGCATACCTATATACACTGTTTACAGTCAGACGAGGGAACTCCAGGAGAACCCTACTCTCTCAACTGCATCACTGGTACTAAAGCCAGCGGAGAGTAGTTAAAGAGAAAAAGGCAAACTTAAAGTATGGTGCTATTACTGACAGATGGTTGTTCCTAGGACACTATGTGGATCGTGAGGAACCTTCCTAATCTGTCACTCATTAGTTAAGTTGCTATTTCCGGAAAGACTAAAGCAAAGCCGACAAATATAGAAAGGGAAAATATAGAAACTAAAAATATATAAATAGTGGTCTAGGAAGTTCTGAAATTTTATTATTCCCATTTTTCGAGTAGAATGTCAGGTATTGTTACACAGTCAACTATTGGTGCTTTTACCCTATTTGGCGAAGCTACAAGGATCTCCCGTAAGTTGTTTGACTATACGTACAACTACAATTGCTTAATTTATATTCAGGGAAGAAACTGAAATAATTTTAAGTTGAGTATTGATAATAGTATGACACCGATCTAATAAAATAATTTACAGTTAATTTATCAAATTAAGAACTCTATTAAGCAATAGAAATGAAAAACATTATACAAAGAAGTTATGCAATTTTTTTGAGAATCGATTCAGAAACATCAGGGGATGTGTTCATTTCTATTTTATTTTATTTATTTTACTGTATCTTCAACAAATAAATACATCTAAGCTACACCAGAGCTAAGGAGGATCAAGGGGACTCAAAATCATTATTTTATATTTTTCTAGTGCCCCAAAAATAATTGTGTTTTATTCGATTATTTCCGCAAGTTTTTTGGACCCCTTCCGATGGGGTCCCAACTTGAATGTTTTGTACTGTTTCTATTGCAGTAGAATGATTGGGAGTCTCCTCTGAAGATCCTGAATATCGTTATTTTGTATGTTTGGCTCCCAAAATAATTGTTTTGTATTCGTTTATTTTTGCAGTTTGTTTGGGTCCCTTCGAAGAATCCCTCGTAAATGTTTTGTACTTTATTATCGCCGTAGAATTGCGGGGACCCCCTCTGAGAGCCCGAAGATCATCGTTTTGTATTTATTTAGTTCCGTAGTATGTTTGGCCCCAATAATAATTTTAATTTCATTATAAATTTAAATCCCTGAAAACCACTTATGTATATATATATATATATATATATATATATATATATATATATATATATATAATATATATATATATATATATATATATATATATATATATATATATATATATATTCTCCTGTTAAGGGTGCTCCACTACAGACGCTAGCCGAGGACCTCAAACGGAGCCAACCGGGCCTGAGTGTATGTATACATGTATATATATATATATATATATATATATATATACAAACAGTTTTTTTAAATTCAATTACCATCTCTTTGTAATATGTTAAAGTAAATGTTGTAATATGTCTTTGTAAATTTAGAAAGCCTTGAGACAAAAATCCAATTTTTCGAGAGTTGTGCCTTTTACATTAGAGAATTAAACATAAGGGGAATACCAGCAAACACACCGGCTGTTTCGGAAAATGATGAAAAAATCATGTTTTCTCTCTGAAGAAGGAATCTTAAAAATTTCTGAACCTCTCACGCAGCCCTTCCCAACTCTTTTTTTCCTTTTACCATTTTTTTTTCTCCCCTCTTTTTTCTTTTTCTCTTTTAACTAAGGAGCGAACTTTAAATAATTAAACTTTAATAACAATGAACAACTTTTAACCTTAACGTGCATTTTACATCTTTTATCCAATTCTTAATATTCATAACCAAAAGATATAATAATATATAATTTTAACTAACGGAGTTGATGGCCAACAGGTTTTACGCCTTTACTATACAACTAACCAAAAAATCCAATTTTAGAGTTCTCAATTTCTTTGCCTGCTAGAAATCAGGTGATCCATAATCGAAACAATTTGAAATTTATGTAAAATAAACAAACCCGATTTTCTAAGATTCAGCAATCAGTTATTGTAGACACGCATTAAAGAAAGTTCCATACTAAGTGCATTTTCTTTCTTGACTACAACCTCTAATAAAATCTTCTTAATCAGTTGAAAATATTGAGTACTTACAAGACCACAGAGAGCCCATCCAAGCCAGACAGGAATGACACATGCTGTGGCTAGGCCGATGAATGTTGCTTCCCTGTAGTTGTCTCTAATCCCTCGAGACTTCAGTGCTAAGACCCCAACAACTGCTATGAGGAATACAGCATACACCAGGGAGAGGAGTAAGTGTTGATAAGGTGTTCCACAAACATCTACACCACCAACCTAGAAATATCAAATGGAAACATTTTTATTTAATTTAGTACCAAATGATAAATTATATGAAAGCCACACTCTTTAACTGTGTATTTTTATCCTTACCTGTACAACTTTAGGGGGTGAATTGATGAGCCATTGTACACCAATGGCCAACTGTATAAGGACGGCAAAGAAAAGAAGGAGGGCTTGGTAGGGTGCTGGTAGGTAGACACCGCCGTTGAGAGAGATCAAGAAGACACATTTCACAAGGAGCGTGGAGAAGACTAAGGTATAGGAGAGCCCCGCGCCGAGCCGCACGGCAGCGCAGGTGAGCACCGTCGGCTGGGCGGTGAGGAGGGCGGACACGGCCGAGCACAGGAACAGGCCCAGCAGCAGCATCTGCCCGAGGAACAGGTGTCTTCGGGAGGGGGTCGTCCTGTAAGTCTTCAGCACTACGAACACCTGCAATGTCAGAGGATGCCATCATATTATATCATAGCTACATCACGAGTACCTTTCAATAGATTTTCAATCTGAAAATAGTCATAGAAGTAAAGAGTTTAATATAAAACCCTCCTTAATATTATTACACCTCAGGTTTGAGCGTTGCTCTTTGTTGGGGGGATGGAGGGAGAGGGTGCGACCATAATATACCGTGACACTTCTCTATATCGGAAATTTTTATAAACCCCATCCAATTTGTAATAATTTTAAAGTATTAATGTCTCCCAAATACCGGTTGCTCTCTATAAGGAACGCTGATGACTATGCAGACATTTTTATAGAAACATTATTCCTTAACGGAGGACAGAAAACCAGTTAGCTCATATTCTGAAAACATCAATGCAACTTATAATAGCATAGTTTATACTGGGAATGCGATTTGGCGGTATGGATTATAGTACTATACGCCTAAAATAATAACAGTTTATTAGATTATTTATTCTTAAGGCAAATTTCTAAGATTATATATTACTTTTATGCTTGTATGAAATATTAGTGGGGACGAATGGGACCATTTCAAACGTTGGGCGGGGGAGAGAAGGTTGAAGTGCCTCCACCACCACAATATGGAACGACGCCAATGACCTAAAGTTTAGTAAAAGTACTACTTTGTACCGCAGAAATTATATTTCTGTGTAATACAGAATTATAGGAAAGAGAGTCAGTTTTTGTTTTTGTTGAATAAGTGAATGCTATGTAAATCTGCTTTAAAGAAATGCATATGTTGCACATATATCATTAAAATAAATACCATGCTAATATATCATTTAAGTACAATCGTACTCACTGCGGCGCGTCAAGTTCTTAACAGAAAGCAACATCTACTATCATTACAAACCCTTCACTTCCTCCATATATATAAAATTATGTTACTTGTGAATAACAGACTTCTTGGTCTCATGTGAATCTCTAAATAAAAAAATGAATAAGGAATGCAATGCACACAAACGCAAAAGCGTATCAGCTAAACAGAGCGAATAGGAAGAAATACAAACCATAACTATATTTCATAAATGATATCCAAGTTTTGCAAGGAAATCCTAAGGTTATGAAATGTCACTTAATGACTTTTTGCAATGAACCGATGATATTTACTTTGAAAGAAAATTTTCCGCAACTACCTTTTATTCAATGTTACAAAAGAAAGAAAGGCCGAGGCATTAAAAATACAAGTTTGAAAAAAAGTATTTTTTTCAGTAATTGTCGCTTTAAGATAGCAAATATTTATACAATAAGGTAGCTAAAACATATACGAAAAAAGTGAATAGGATCAATATTTAAAATGATAAAGAAAACATTACAAATTACGAATGTTTATTTTATTAAATTAGACATATGGACAAGAAGTGGAGAGAAAATACTATTGAGAAAGAAGATCAAGACTATAAACTCATAAATTATTGAAAATCCTATCAGTTTTAATTTTGGATAAAAAAAGTTTTTTTTGTACATCGTACCGTTTTCTAAATATAAGTAAAAAAGAAGGTACCAATCTAGCGTCCACACTATAACAAAGCCGCAGGGTTGGGGGCAAGCACTTTTTATGATGTTTACCTCCTAATTATACCAAAAAAAACTCCTCAAGCCAAAACACTCAAACCTTTATGCACAGTAACCTTTTTTTATTCATAGACTGCACTAGAACAACTGTGTATTATTATTATCTCTTTATCTTTTCTATACTTATTAATTGCATCTCAATCTAGCTTATATTTATTATTGTTCTAATATTCTTTCTCACTGTATCATTCATAAGTTGTAACCATTACCACTGGTCCACATGACGAAAACATTTTAAAAAATCTAAATTTTTTTTCTCAAACTATAAATCTTAAAAAGTGTGGAAAAATTGGAATGATGTGTTATTTTAACTGATGGAATGTTATTTCTTATTCCCAATTGAGAATCGTGCAATATTTCTAATTTCTAATATAATGTTTTTTCTCTAAAATTTTATTTTTATTTATTTCTTGAAATTAACAACTGTAACCATACAGTACCAAAATTAAACGTGAAGTAAGCAAGGCTTGAAACTTTAAAAAATAAAAGGTCTAAATACAGTTTTAGTAATAATGCAGCAATAATTGGGCTTATAATACAGGTATAGTTATCTCGAATGAATTGCCTGATTCTCATTTCATGAACGAAATTGACAATTACCATTTTTAAATATGTTTTTTGCCAAATGAATTTCTTTAATAGACATTTTAAATATCTTTTTTTAGCATAAAAGTTCTATAAAATCTTTAATTGAAAATATTCATCAGAAAAACTTCTAGCACAGAAATTAATAGGAGAACATAAAAGTTAGATATCCATATCGACAGAGTAATATAGTCTTTTAAAAATGAAAGAAGCTATTAAAGTCATAAGACAATGTATTTTTATAGTGTGTAGGAATATATATAGGACAATGTATATTTTTCAAACAATACGATATATTACCCCTCTCCTCCCCCCAAAAAAGATATGTTGGTTATAGTGATAGTCCACAACTGAACTGTCATTTGAGAAGGCTTAATAAGCGTGGTATAGGCTAATCCTTCAGAGCAGGGCTGCGCTCTGTGCTTAGCATACTTAAAGCGCCTTCACTTCTTTTATATTCCTTTATTAATTTATTTACTTTATTTATACTTACATCTGTTGTGCAATAGGCGTGAATATATAGCCTGCGGTATAACTTAAAATTCACATATAGGTAACAGAAGTAATTTCACTAACGTCTTGTACAAGTTAAAATTAAAAAAATAATATCAAGAATATTTAAAAGAGTAAATTTTCTGTCAAATTAAGTTTAGGTTCAAGTGCAACGGATTCCAAATTGGCTAAATATACTTATATAAAGTACTAAAATCCAAATGCCTTATTTATATTTATATTGGCTTCCTACAAGATTTGAAAATATAGCAATTAAATATTGTTTTGTTTTTAAATTGAATTTCCTTGAAAATTTAACTTATTTCTAAAAAAATATATTAAGTTGTCAATGAATGATATTGCATCAAGTACATTTAAAGAAGTGATAACTTAAAAAAAAACTATTATAAAATCTTACTTCAAAGTATTTTGCTCTTATTGTTGTTCGGACAGCTGGAATGTTATTTAATTGTTTCATTAATTAACTTAGCACTTTAATTATCTGCCACGACAATTTTCAAAAATCGTGCCTAAAATGAGAATTTGATTTAATCATATTATATTATTAAAATCTGATATATTACGACTTTAATCTCAGCTGCACAAAAAATGGCAAGTAAGCAAGGACGAGATAACTCGTATTTTATCCATATTCGAGGAAAATATATGGAAAAATAGAAATAGGAATAGAAATATCAACTTTATTCTGGGACAAAGTCCCTTAAGAATAACAATATGGTTCATACAAATTAACATTACATCTGGCCAAAAGAAGTAATACATAAAATTATAATGGAAACATAAGTAATAAAACAAATATATACATAACTTATAGATGTGTTTATGAAAGCAAGTGAGTGTTTTAATGAAAAATAGAATCATAATATTGCAATAATACTGCTTAGGGAAAATAAAATAAAAATAAATAAATAAATAAAACAGGAAAGGAATAATATATTAATTTTATGAGAAAACCATTGTAGCAACAAAAAGAAAAACTAAAGAAAAATAAGGAAAGGAAATAAATTATCTATATTAGTTACTTAACAGTTTTGAATGAATACTTATGGTAATGTAAACAATTAAATAGTATCGTAAACTATATACAAAAACGTAGATTGAGAGGGGAAAATATATACATATATACATAGTGAGGAATGTAAATATAAAATACATCTCAAATACATATAATCTTGTAAATAGAGAAATATATATATATATATATATATATATATGTATAAAACAAATAATTTCTTCTTTTTTATTTCTTCATCTCAATGCTATGTCAACAGTAATATTTAATCTTTTCCAATTCATAAAAAAAAAAATGTAAAAAATGAAAATACATCTCAAATACATAGAATCTTGTAAGTGGTATAAATAAAAACATTTTTTTATTTATTTTTTACATCCCAATCCCAAAAGTGATACGGAGTCTTTTTGAATTCAGAAAAAATAAATATCGTCTCGAGTTTCCATTGATAAATCTTACGAAGCTATTCCTAATTCTTTTTATTCTGTCACCAAGAGACACCACGCGCCTTAGCTAAGGTGGGGAAAGATGAGGGAGGATACTAGGAGTCTATGTGTGGGTATGGGTAGGAGATGACGGAAGTAATGTAAAGTAAAGCCCTTACTTTATAAATAGCTTGGAAAAATTTATAGTTCCAAAAATACTATCGCCAATAAAATTCCAGTTATACCGATACTGTTATAAATAAAAGATTTTCTTCCATGTGAAACAGTGGCTTATACAAAGAAATTTATTATTTTCATTTGTTTTTAAATATTATCATCCATGATTAAGGATGTTAAATAGATACCTCATTATTAAATCCTGAGAGCAGGAAAAAAGATCAATATTACCGTATATACACACACTATAATATATATCTATATATATATTTTGTGTTTTGTTTTAATTTATGCCAGATATAATATTTTAATTTTGTACTTTTTGTTACTCTAAAAAGACATTGTCCCAGTATAAAATTATTTACCCCACAAATCCTCGATTTAACAACCTCGATTTAAGGACACAAATTGACTGTCGAGAGATGTGGGCAATGTGGTATTTCCAGGCGAGAGTTTGGTCAATGAAATTACCTAGGTTTTTAACTGAGGAGCCGAAGGAGATGGGATGGTAATTTAGGTCCAGAATAGGAATGCTAGTATTGGATTCGAGGAGGGGTTTGGAACAAATTACAATGGCCTGAGTGTATCAGCGTTTAACATTAATTTATGTATGCCCAGACACTGATTCGATTTAGATCTTCTTGGATTTGATTTGGATCATACAACTCAGAGGGAGGGAAAGAAAGGTAAGTTTTGGAATCATCGGCGTAGAGGTGATGGAAATAATGAAGGATTGACTTGTGGGGTAAATAATTTTATGCTGGGACAATGTCCTTTTAGAATAACAAAAAGTACAAAATTAAAATATTATATCTGGCATAAATTAAAACAAAACACAAAATATATATATAGATATATATTATAGTGTGTGTATATACGGTAATATTGATCTTTTTTCCTGCTCTCAGGATTTAATAATGAGGTATCTATTTAACATCCTTAATCATGGATGATAATATTTAAAAACAAATGAAAATAATAAATTTCATTGTATAAGCCACTGTTTCACATGGAAGAAAATCTTTTATTTATAACAGTTTCGGTATAACTGGAATTTTATCGGCGATAGTATTTTTGGAACTAGAAATTTTTCCAAGCAACTTATAAAGTAAGGGCTTTACTTCAAGTAAGGATTTAAAAAAAAAAATTTAAAACTTCTGTCGATTTCGCTAAAAAGTCAATCTAAAAAAGGAATTTTATTCTTAGCAAATAAAAACTAACTCTAATCTAAGTATTGTTCATTTGAAAGAAACTTTTTTAAGAACTTGAATAAATATAAGTTAAGCTTTTACCATAAACCTGGAATTTTATTACAAAAACCTTCCTTAGAACTTTTATTTTTATTAATTTTTTCCTAAAATGATTCACGTAAATTGAGGAATAAAATGGAACTCTTGATGATTGTCTGTTCAAATTATTTTTTATAACGATTTTTTTTTTTAATAGTGTTCTGTAATGAATCTATATCAAATAGTGGAAAATTCTCATGAGTTCGTGTAGGACATCCTCAATATTTAGTTGACAACTGCCTATAGAGATAACCAGAACTGGAAGTTACCTCGAAGATGGCTATGAGGAGCATCGTGATGACCGAGAAGACAAGGAGCGGGAGGACCCACATGTCAGAGCGGAGGATGCCCTGGCCCTGCCCCTGGGCCGGGGGGGCCGTCACCAGCCGCGGGGGCGACGGGGTCGGCACCAGGAAGAACTCCGTGCTCATACCCCCTCCTCCTCCTCCCATCATCTCCTCCTCTCCAATGCCATATCTGCAACAATAATATACATTAATCGATAAATAACAATCATGATTATAACAAATAATAGTTAATAATAAATTAGAGAAGGATCTGATCGAGTCCGTTCATAACATTGCTCCTTCCTTTCTGAGACCCCGATTTTATAGAAGAGGTTAGATCTCGGCCTGGAGGTCATAAAGTACAATATTAATATGGAAACAAAGACAGTAGTAAGCCTGAATATCAAAAAATAGGACACGGATGAATAACTGAATAAAGGCCAAATATTTTAGACAAAATTTCACTAGATGGCAAGGAAACTATTAGCATGAAATTGAAGGATCATAAAGCATAGAAACATTTTACAATTGAAGGTCCCAGTTATATGAACATAGATATTTAAAAAAAAAGAAATACTACAAAATAAAATATGCCAAATAATTATGTTACGCATTAAGTGTATCATTACGAAAATTGGCTTGTGAAGAAGTAAATCGTTAGCTGAAATCCAATCACTGTTATATATATATATATATATATATATATATATATATATATATATATATATATATATATATAAATTAAGTATACAGCTAAAAAAAAGAGACATGAGGTAATTATGTTATAAATGGAAAATCGAATCTACAAAGCCATAAGTCTCATTGAACAGCCGAATTTCTTTCTCAGGTTCTTCGAAATTTCAGGGGTGGGAGAAACATATTGAGAGTACAAAAAAAGCACTTCTGTAATAATAATTCTATTAGTATCATGCAAATTCTGTGGCTCATGAAGAGGGGCGTAAAACTTAAAAAAGATGGAAACGGTTTTAAAACCGCTTTATTTTATTTTTAAATACTATTTTAATTTGAATACTATTTTATCCATATTCGAAGATAAAATATATATGGAAAAATAGAAATAGAAGTATCAACTTTATTTTGGGACAAAGTCCCTTAAGAATAACAATATTGTTCATACAAATTAACATTACATATAATGTTCGTATTGAATCAATACCAAATAGTAGAAACTTCTCATGAGTTTATGGAGGACAATAAGGAGACATGAGGTAATTATGTTATAAATGGAAAATCCTATCTACAAAGCCATGAGTCTCCAAGATAAATGTGAATAATTATCTTGCCAACGTTTCTCCGATTAGGTCATCATCAGAACAGAAAAACCAAGATCACTTATATGAAGAAAGAAAGCAAAAAAAAAGACTTTTGTGAGGATTTATTTATTAGGTTATATCTAGTTGTTAAAATTAATAATTTCTGTACAGACAGTGAGTAAGTTGATTCTATAGTAGGTAATTGTAGCGTTATAATATTGAACTGTGAATAAAAGTATAAATTTTTCAACAAGAAATATCACTAAAATTGATAATAAGAAATATTGAAATTGGATTAAGTCATTCTGTCAACTAAAAGCCTCGTATGAGTGGCTGTGACATGAAACCACCAATATGATTTCTAATGCTTAAATAAGGGTAATTAATAATCACCGTTACTGTAAATGAAGAAAAAAACAGAATGAGGGATTGTAAGGTAGGTAAAGAAACAATATTTTCTTACCCTAGTAACACAACTTTTATTTGTATATCTTTCGTTTTTGATATGAGGAGCCTCCTTTCCGTTTGACTATAGTCTACCAATACATCGAAATAAAAAAAATGTGGTTGAATGATCATATAAGTCCATCGATCAGCGCTAGTGAAAACTAACTATTCTAGTCAATGGAAACGAAAGCTGATAATGCAAATTATCTGGATGAGTGAGTTCCATTCTGTTCTGGAGGTCTTGGAAAAAACAACAGATGAACACTAGCAGCCTTTCTAAATTATGTCCTAGGAATGCCTCTTACAATAATACACACTTCATTGATTCCGATCTTTATGTAATAATCGGCTATTAAGCTATTATCAAAAATGAAAGTATAGTGGTTCAGCTTTCTCTTATGTCCCCAGCCGACAATCTTTTTCTTTAAATGTTTATTGGTTGTGGTTTTCTTCTAATTTTATATCAATGATCGTTTTCTTCTTGACATGATGTCGGGACCTTTCAGTCTGCTATAATCCGTCCTTCTAACCCGAATCATTGTAATACCTAAGGGCAGTGCCGGCCTTAGACATTCGGCCTCGTCGGGAAATGACCTCATCACCTTTCATCCTAAAAAAATTAAATTTATTTCTTAAGCTGTTTTATATTATGCTATATTTCAATTTTATTTGTTTAAATATTTCTCTGATAAGGTTACTTTATTGATAGTCTAAAGTTAATTATTTTAATAAGTTTGTATATACTTTTTAAATTTACGAGCGCCCCTTAACATCGGTCGACGTCCCCAACAGGCGCTCCTCCAGGCAATAAACAAAGTAACAGTCAATAATGGTTTGTCCTCTCTTTTCAACAAAGTGTTTACGTTTGAGAGATTATTCTTTAGTTTGGGTGTCAACCCTTATTAATTCCCTTATATACCAAAATATTTATTTTTTATTGCATTTCACCAGCTCAAAATAATTCAGTCTTTATTAAGACATATAACTCGATACCTATTCAATTATAGTTACTTTTTAAGTCGGGGCAGGTCGGAGCGGACAATAGGGTGTCGCAGTACGCCGTGCTTAAGAAGAAATATATAAGTTACAAACACGTTTGCAGAAATGTTTTAAGAGAAATAGAGAGTATTTTGACTAGTAAAAATAATTTCGTATCATTTTTTTTTTGTCTAAAAAAATGTATTTGCGTCTGTCAACTTATTGTTGACAATCGGCAAATGTGATGGCGATACATGAAATAATGACATGACATGCATGGGGAAGGAAAGTACTCAGCATTACCTCTTCCCTAACTTGTTCCAATTACTTAGGTTGTTTAAGGAAGAAGATCTCTCATCCAACGCCTTTTTATTAATCTCCTACTCATGTTCTGAGCTATGTCAGCTGTGGCCATGTCTTTTATTAGTATATTATTTTTTATTTTATTATAAAACCATAAACCTGCGTTAATTTCCGGACTATCCAATATATAATTAGAAACAGATAATTTAAAATACTGTCAGGTTTTTCTATTCCTGCTGTTATTATAAGGGGATTTTGTAGAGTAATAATTACTTATTTTTCACAAATTAAGGCCATGTGTACATCAATGTTTTAGTGCTTTTTGTTCAGAACTTGGGTAGTTTTAAATTACGTAAAAATGTTTTCAATATAAATACAATTTTAATTTTATACAATATGTAGGTATGTAAGTGTTCTTTTTTAGTTATTTATTTTAATTTTATTTTATATTTATTATTGTATATATATTATCTTTCTGTATAATTTTTTTTTCATAGTACATAGAGTGTGAATGTGATCTCTGAGCACTATTATAAATCTCCTTTGAGACAGATTGTAATATTTTCAATAAACAAGTAATAATAAAATCAAGAATTTTATACAATAAATAAGAGAAATCAATAACAGTATTCTTTTTATTTTTATGACTTTTTTTTAACGTTGTATAGTCAAATTTATTGTTAGAACGATTTTTTAATAATTAAATAAAGATTATCAGATTAATAAGATTAACAATTTTGTAAATAACGTAAATTGCATATGGGTTAAATATAATAATATAAATATTAAATTCTTTATTTTTTACTTCTATTTTGCGACACCTCTTTGAGCCTAAAACATAAGTTTTTAAGCCTAAAAACTGGATTTATGGTTTCTAGACAAATGCTCTAGTTGAGCCTCACGAATGATAGATTGTCAGACTAGCCGAAAGAGAGAGTTGTCCCAGTTGATGTAGAAAGATAGACCATTTGGTGTAGTACCAGTGTGGGCAGGACTATGCGTCATAGACAGTGCCTAGACCTCCGATGTGCCCAATAGCTGACTGTCGCGGCAAGACAAATCGGCTCGACAGTAAAAATTTACAGCCCTTATTGTGATAAGACAGCCAGCCTATAAAGCCTGAAGCGGCTTGAGTAATGTGTCGAAACTCCCCAGTCGGTCCGGATAATATAGAACCGAACCCTTGGCAATTTGTCACAGTTCTCTTTGTTGTGTCTATATGGCCTGATAAGAAGGATAGCTTAGCGTCTTTCTTCTCCGAACAGAATACTTTTATTTTGATATCCATTTACGGAACCTAGAAATATAAAAATATGCTAGGAGATAAATTTGAAATATATTGTGATCCGGAAAAAAAAAAAATGCCTCACGATGATGAAGTAGTCTGAAACTTATAGCGAATCACTAACAGCCACAACTGAAGCAGTTCATTTTTCTTTTTCATTTTAAAAGAATTTTTTTTACTTCTTTCGAACCTCTTTTATCAAATACTGTTATATTCTGTTCCATTCATGAACAATAATAATAGAGATGAAACACCACATTCACACCATATTTACATATACTTTTATTTATTTTTAACTTTATATCTTCGCCCACACCTGTCATAAGTAATGACAATTAGCGAGTCTGTTTTCGATAAGACTACAGGTAGTATGAACGGCGTGAGGGAAAGGAGTGCCCAGCGGCTTCCTTTCCTGTCTAGAATTTAGCGAATTTTTAATGAAATTAATCCCTCCCTCACCCAGATTCCTTTTGACCCTCCTAAGTGTGTTTTCGGGCCACATGTTAAATGTTGTCATACTTTGTATAAGCATGTTAGTACGTAGTTATCGTGAAATCTTTTGTAGTGCGTCCGTATGTGGTCGTTAACTGTTGCCATTTGAAGATCTTTGTATAAAGTAATAAATAAATACAACTGTAAACAAATAAATTAAATAATAGCAATATAATACATAGAAACAAGAACTAAAAAAGTTGAAAATAAAATATTAGAAATAAAACATCTTAAGCTCTACTTATATGAAATATTTACAATCAGCCAAAGGGCCTCCGAACGAGGTTTGTCTCTCCATATATGGAGGGAAAAGAGAGGTTGGAGGAGATCCCAACGCTGCTGTAGAGGAGGTTGAGCGAGGACGCTACATCTACAGACTTACATGACTT